TGAACCTCTCTTCATGCGGGGTAGCCCCATGACAAAATCAAGGGATAAATCTTCCCATATAGAATCAGGGATGGGCAGAGGTAAATAGAGTCCGGTGTTTTAGGCGGTTCCCTTAGATCTTTGACAGACGAAACACTTCTCAACGAACCGCAGAACATCACGGCGTAAATGAGGTCAATAAAACCTCATCTGTAGCAGCTCTAAAGTTTTATACCTTCCCATATGAGCGGCCAGCCCACCACAATGTAATTCTTTGATCAATTGGAGACGCCAAAAGGAATCAAGAACACATAAGTTGTTTCCTTTAAAAAGAAATCCTTGTTGTAGGGAGTAGTCTTGCGTCGACTTGCCCGTTTTACAGGCCTCCCAAATCACCGAAAAGACTCTGTCCGTCTCATATAATTCATGAAGGGATTGGAGTCCAGTAAGCTCCGTTCTGGAGGCGGACGAGCAGAGCAGAGCGTCTGCTCAAGGCATTAGCTACCCGATTGCTTTTACCTGCCTTGTGCTTAATTACAAAACTAAACAGTTGAAAGAACACCACCCATCTTGCATGCATTCGATTGATACTCTTTTGACTGTTAATATACTGTAGAGTTTGATTGTCGCTGCATAAAATGAAGTCTCGATGGAGAAGATAATGTTCCCACTGCTTAAGTGCACGAACCACAGCGTAGAGTTTTTGTTCATAAGCTGACCAATTCTGACGTGGTCCACTCAGTTTTTCACTGAAATACTCCACAGGTCTTCCATCTTGTGATAGAATCTCTCCGACCCCTACTGCCGACGCATCGGTTTCAACCTGTAATGGTTTGTTAAAATCAGGAACTACTAGTACGGGAGCGGTGCTGAGAGCTTCTTTGATCTCATCAAAGCTCTGCTGTTGCAGTTTTCCCCACACAAATTTTGAAGCCTTCAAACAATCAGTCAGTGGGGTTGTGAGTTCCCCGAAACCACGAATGAATTGCCTGTAATAATTAGCTAGCCCATGGAAGCTCCTAACTTTCGAGATAGTCGTGGGTGTTGGCCAATTGCTGATGGCCGAAACTTTTTGTGGAGCTATGTGAACTCCCTCCGGGGTTAGAACGAAGCCCAGGAAGTGAACTTCGGTAGCTGCAAATTCACATTTGCTTACATTAATAAGGAGTTGATTGTCCCGAAGAATCTCCAGTATGGCTCGCAATTGGCACATATGCTCTGCAAAAGAAGTGCTGAATTCAAGAATATCATCAAAATAAACTACACAACACTTATCTAGAAACGGCTTGAGGATGTCATGCATTAACCGCATAAAGGTGGAGGGAACATTGCATAGCCCAAAAGACATCACGTTCCATTCGAACAATCCGTCCACTGTTTTGAAGGTCGTCTTCCATTCGTCTCCGGGACGGATACGAATCTGATGATACCCACTACGCAGATCGAGCTTGGAGAAAATATTGGCGCCAGCGAGCCGGTCCAAAAGATCGTTGATCCGAGGGATGGGAAACCGATATTTAACGGTAATGCAGTTGATTGGTCGGCTGTCAATACAAAGTCGCCACTGTCCGTCTTTCTTTGGAACAATCAAGGCCGGAACTCCACATGGACTGAGGCTTGGTTGGATGAAATTTTTCTGCAGTAATTCTTTAATTATTTGTTTTAAGATGGCGTGCTCTTTGGGGCTCATTCTGTAATGAGGTAGGTTAGGTAAAACAGCGCCCGGGACAAATTCAATTTGATGTTGTAAGCTGCGCAGGGGCGGTAGCGTGGATGGTAATTTCGTAGCTGCTACATCCGCGTGGTCTTGAAGCAAGCCTTGAATTTTCGGAGGATGACTTACTACATAAGGAGTGACAGCTTGATCGTGGACCACTAGTGCCAAAAGTGAATGAGCTGGGTCTTGACATCTCATCAACGTTGTACCCGACACGAGTCTCGCAGCAAACAAGTTGTGCGCCGCCCCAACACTAGATGAGTGACTACCAGGCACTAGCTTAAGTCGTTTTCCTTTCCACTCAAGAGTATATGAGTTAGCACGGCCATCATGAATGGCTCCGGTGTCATACTGCCATGGCCGTCCCAGAATTAAATGGTAGATATCCATATCAAGGACGTCACACGTAATGTGGCACAAGTAACTCTTTCCAATTGAAAATGTTACCTTGCACAAGTCGGCAACCGTGAATTCTACTCCTTTCTTTATCCAATCGATCTTATAAGATTTCGGAATTTTTGTAAGGCTGAGTTGAAGAGCTTGAACTGCCGCCCGAGAGATAATATTCTCGGTGCACCCACTATCAATCACCATGCCACAAACCTTCTCGTTGATTGTGCATTTCGAACGAAAAAGACTGTGCCGCTGACTATCAACCGGCTGTCTCGAGGCTATCAGTATATTCTCCATAACACACAGAACTGGATCTCCCTCATCTGCCAATACGACTTCGTATTGAGCATCTGCTTCATCTTCATTTGTCTCTGATACGGCTGCCTCATCGCCTTCTACAAACTGAGCCTGATGCCGGGTGGGGCATTCATTCGATTTATGTCCCAGCTGGAGGCAACGGAAACATTTAAATGTTGATGGTTTGGCATACGGGTTTTTTCCGTACTCCGGCGCTTCGGGGTTTAAACTGCACTTTGTCAACACCCGATTGAGTGCGATTAACTGGTGGAATTGGAACATGGTCCTTAGCAGAAGTACCATTGGATCTTGAGGGTTTGGTCAAGCCATCTGCTATAGTTCGCCGAGGAGCCGGAGTTCAGTATGGCCTTTGCAATTGAGATTCCACCTTGAGGGAGAAATTAACAGCCTGGGATAAGGACCACCAATTGATTCTCTGTCTCTAGAAGATTGTTGCGGGCACTTAGCCTGTAAAATTCTTCAGTGTAGTCGTTGACGGATCGTTGCCCATGGCGGCATTGTTGATACTGCACATACAAAAGTTGTTCAAAGTCTGTGGGTAAGAAGTGTCGCCGCAACAGACGCTTCATGCGGCTCCAGTGGAGTACCGGACCTTTGCCTTCCCGCCGCCTACTTTGTACTACTTGCATCCACCACGCACTGGCTCCACCCTTGAGATGGCACACCACGTACTTCACTTGTTTGACCGGTGGGATTTCCATATAATCAAAGAAATTTTCTACCGCCGCTTCTCAATCCAGATAATCCTCGATGTGCATCCTGCCTTCAAAGAATGGAATATCAAGCTTAATGCGCATACCTTCGGGTTCTTGTCTCTGTAGTCTTTGTCTTCGCATCCTCTCCACTCTGGGACGATGGAGTTCTTCTTCGGCGTCGGATCGATTATCCTCCGATAACTTTTCGGAGCCCGATTCTGACATCACCGGATACAATGCAGGCTCCCTGGGTGGTGGATGTTCCATGCGTAGATGCCTCCTCGGTACCGGTAAGGTTGCCGGAACGTTTGGGTGAACTACTGGGTTAATAGCTACCCGAACTTGTCGCATTTCTTCCCGCATATTGTCGGCGAAGCGTGCGAAATTATTGATAAGATCCTCCAATTGCTTGGATGTCTGTTTTTGCGTTTCCCATAACGCCTCCAAACTCTGATCTCCGTCAGATCTGGGTCGGCTGCTACCTTCCGCCATTGTCGCCGGCAACCTGGCTCTGATACCAAAGTTGATGCACCGGCTGAGCAAAGAAGAAGAAGAACCGATGGGAAGATCAATGGAACAGTAACATGTAAAAAGGTTCTTAATATTGATAGAGTAAAAACTATCTCATCCCTACTCTAGCTGAAACATATACTTAGGAAAAATTAAAAAGTCAGAAAGCATAATGGGAAAATGCTAAAAAGTAAAGCTGATAAAGCAAAACAGAAAGGGTAAATGTCAGGACAGTTCGGTAGTGCTTGTCTCCCAACTCCAAGTTCCGCCTGAGTAGCCAGGCTAACCGGTGCCCACATCATTAATTGTGAAGTTTTTGTAGAGAAAATAACTAAGCTATATCGGTTGCAAAAAGGAGCTTTCTATCACAAAAATTTTTAAAAATCAATAAGCAGTAATCAAATAAAATTGTGATTGCTATTTGAAAAAGCTCAAATATTGAAAAAAATTGTCCCAAACAGATCCTAAGATTTGTTATTGCTCTCACTAATAGTTTTTTCTACTACCAATTTTAAAATGTCTTCACCAACCATTAGAGTTTTGTTAAATCTCAACATTTAATTTTGCTTTATTTGCCAACCTTATTCCTGTATTGCCTAGAGAAATTTCAAACAATGTAGGCATTGCTGCTCGCTTTAAGGCAAAAGAAATATATTTAGAACCTTAATACTTTGCTGTAAATAGCATCTTTATCTTGTTATATACAAATCCCTTGGAGTGCTAACATCTGGTAAAATTTCTGTCTCACTCGAAAATTATTGGATACTAATAATAATGTTTATAAAATTCATTTCAAAATGTTTTTTTTTTTTATAAATAAGAAATCTTGTGGGTTTGATCTGTTGATGCTTATCCTATGATATTCATAATAATAACTATATATTTAATTAATTGAACATGCTAAAATAAACATTTCTATATATACAAGAGGAAATGACAAAAAAAGAAACAAAATAAAAGAATATGTCATCTATAATGAAGATATATATAATGGTAATTATTTAAGATTCTTAATACATTTAATATTATAAATATTTGATGGTTATGCTTATTATTGTACGCTTTGTAAGTTGGACATTCTTGAAATTTCAATTACAATTCCAACTTTAGGGATAGTATTGGACCAAAATGGAGGAGGATTTCAAATGTCCATATAAGCCGAATATTTTAGGCTTAATAATAGGAAGCTATTATAAGTATTATATATTTTTTAACATGGGCTTTATTACTATAGTAAATTATCAAATCTCTATATTTTCTTAGATTTGAATTTTATGAATTATATATATATTCAGTAGTTGAATGAAATAGAATAAGATTTTTAATCATATTTATGCCCTTCATTGTGTTTATCATTTTAACATCTAAAATAACCTTCCAACTTTTAAATGGCCAACTCAAATCCTCCTTCCCAAGTACAAATCTCTGCCTCCAACACCCAGCCCAGTGTTCCGCCCTTTCATTATTATGGCGTCCGCTTACGAGGAAGAAAATGGACATCAGAAGCTTACAATCAGCATGAATCTAAAAACATATGGATCGGTACCCATTTCACACCAGAAATGGCCGCCATTGCTCATGATGTAGCTGCGCTAGCATTCAACGGGGCCAGTGCATTGCTTAATTTTCCTGATATAATACAATCCCTTCCCGTGCCAAAATCGATTTCAATTGTTGATATTCGAGCAGCTGTAGAGGAAGCAACAAAACAGTTTAGTGCAATGCCTGAGGTCGTGGATGCATCTGAGGTGCCACCACAAGATATAGGTAAGTATGTGGATGAGGAACTATTCAATATGTCATAGATCTTGATTGAGATGGTAGAGGGTTTAAGGGTGAGTCCACCAATATTTGGCCCTCCAGAGTCTGATTAGCCGATATAAGTCTTGGAAGATAATAATTTATGAAATTTTTTATGAGTATAAAGGATAGTAGCATTTGGGGCTATTATTAAGAAAATTAGCTTAGAATATTCTCATCAAATATTTCATTAGATAAAATTTAAAATTGTTGGATTTATTTTGGGATAAGTAGGATCAAGATTTTCATTTATTCGTATTTCATATTCTATATTAAAACCAATTCTTATTTATTAATCCTCTTTCATTTTGCAATTTCCCCACTGAATAAATTTTAATGAAGTCCAAGCCTTCTTGATCAGGTTCGGTTGAATAGGAAAATGCTTTTATTCATGTGAATTAATTCTTCTTACTCTCCCTCTTGAATGTGTAAATCTAAAAAACAAAGAGGCTAATTATTCTTTCCTCAGAACTTTTTGGCATATTTACTTGGAAGATATGACCCTTTCAAACCATAATATAACTACGCGAAAGGACAAAATCACGTAAAAAGTTAATTCTGTATGGAAACTCTTATATTTTTTTTTTTAATTATATCCACTCATTTTTATGTTCACAACAACGAATTACAATCTTTGCTTGAGCTTTCCTTTGTAGACTTCAAAGCATTCATTTTCGTCTATTCATATATAACATACAAAATGCATGCAAGCAAATATATAAAACAAATTTAATAGAATCACATTAATTATAAAATATTAAATTGATAGGATAAAAAATTGCAGATATATATAGTAACATTTTTTTATTTTGACATGACAAAGTAATATTTGATTTTTATCCACATTATAAATTAAGTGTGATTTTATATACAAATTGGGCATAGTTCTTTTGAGATCTTCTTTTGCTCTCAAAGTAATCCAACTCCTAAGCACACCAACCATCAACCCTAGCCACTAGCTCCACTCTCGCACTTGTTGGTTGCTTACTGCTCCCAACTTTTAGGCTGCCTACATTATCGAAGCCTTAGTCACTGTCACTTATCGATGGTACTTTTTTCTTATTTAGGTTTTCATGGCCTCGCTTTCACTACATAGGTCGATAATTTTTAGTTTTATTTTTTCCATCCTCTTTAAAGAGGCCATATTTTCCTCCTTTTGTTAAAGTTCATTACACCAGCTATGTTCCCAAAATGCAAGGAAAAAGTGTCATGGATTTATTTTGAATGGAAAGAGCGTCACTTTATATGTTTATTTTAAATGAAACTTATATAACCTCATAGATTTATCCTAAAGGAAGTGATTTTCACTCCTTTAATGAGTGTGATTTAACATATTTTTATTTTATTTAATATCAATATCATTATTGGATTGACATGCAATATATTATATCATAGAAAATGAGGTTTAACAAATGAATTTTCATATGGAGCATTATAGGTTTCACTTGTTAATCAGAAATTATTTTTGACACTATAGGGAAAACATATATTACCGCCTGCCCGCGCGACAAATCCTGCCAGCGCCCCCTGCCACGCCTGCCAGTGCCGGTGCTCCATGCCCAAGGCTGCCCGCGCGCACCCACGCTCGCCGCAAGCACCTGCCTGCACACTCATGCGCTTGCCCACTCTAGCTTGATCGCGTCCGCCATGTCGGGTCGGGTCAACCCGGCAACCTGCTGGGTCGGGTCTGGGTTCGGATTTTCGACCCATTTATCTACACGGGTCGGGTTAGGATCAGCCCGTTTTAACCCAGGTCAGATGCGGATTCGATCCGAATCCGACCCGTGACCCGAAATTGACACCCCTACCTATGATATTGATAATAATAACTACATCTTTAATAAATTAAGCATGCTAATATAAGCTTTTCTTTATATGCAAGAGGAAATGACAAAAAAAGAAATAGAAGATTCATGCTATAAATATTTATTATCCGAATAAAAGAGAATGTCCTCTATAATGAAGATATATATAATGATAATTATTGAAGATTCATGCTATAAATATTTAATACATTTAATATTATAAATATGGTAACACGAGGAGCCAATCAGCAAACCTCTTTTCCAAACCCCTTGATGGTTATGCTTGTTATGGTTTTCTTTTCCAGTTGGGCATTCTTGACGTTTCAATTATAACTCCAACTTTAGGGATAGTATTGGACCAAAATATAGGAGGATTTCAAACGTCCATATAAGTCGAATATTTTAGGCTTAATCATAGAAAACTATCATAAGTATTCTATATTTTCTTGCATGGGTTTTATTACTATTGATACATCATCACAAAATTAGCTTGATCAGGCACGAATCCCGAGGCAAAAACTAGTTGGAGACTTCAAAAATTAAATCCGGGAGCATCCGAACTCCGATTTCAACGATCTTACAGTCAAACTGAGCGTCTCGGAAATACGAACCCAACAACACCAAGATCGACCCAATCCGAGCCCAAATAAGTCCGAATCAAGAGTTCAAAGCGCTGTTGGAAGGTTCAAACCGCAATTTGAGTTACCAAACGGTCTCCGATTTTGACGAGCTTATGGGCATCAAATGTCTACAAACATCATGGCTCTAAAAGCATAAGGGTCGGAACCTATTCCACACAAAAAATGGCTGCCATTGCTCATGATGTGGCTGAGCTAGCGATCAACAGGGACAGAGCGTTGCTTAATTTTCCTGATCTAATAGGATCACTTCCCGTGCCAAAATCGACTTCAATTGTTCATATTCGAGCAGCAGCAAAAGCAGCAGCAGAACAGTTCAATGTGAGGCCTGAGGTTGTGGGTGCATCTGAGGTGTCATCGCAGGAGATAGCTGAGTATTTTGATGAGGATGAACTATTCAATATGCCACAATTGTTGATCGAGATGGCAGAGGGGTTAATGGTGAGTCCACCAAGAGTTGGCCCTCCAGAGTATGATGAGCCGCTAGAAGTCTTAGAAGATAATAACTTATGGAAATTTGATGAGTAAAAAGGATAGTGGCATTTGGAGCTATCATTAAGAAAATTAGATTGGGATATTGTCATCAAATATTTCATTAGACATAATTTAAAATTGTTGGATTTATTTTGAGATAAGTATAATCAAGATTTTTATTTATTCATATTTCATATTCTATATTAAAACCAATTCTTATTTATTAATCTTCTTTCATTTTTCAATTTCCCCACTAAATTAATTTTAATGAAGTCCAAGTCTTCTTGCTCGGGTTGGGTTGAATAGGAAAATGCTTTTATTCACGTGAATTAATTATTCTTACTCTCCATCTTGAATGTGTAAATCTCAAAAACAAAGAGGCTACTTATTCTTTCCTCAGAACTTTTTGGCTAAATCTCAAAAACAAAGTTAATTCTGTATGGAAACTCTTATATATTTTTTTTAATTATAATCACTCATTTTTATGTTCACAACAACGAATTACAATCTGTGCTTGAGCTTCTTTTGCAGACTTCAATGCAACCATTTTCGTGTATTCACATATAACATACGAACTGCATGCAAGCAAATATATAAAACACATTGGATACAATCACATTAATTGTAAAATATTTGGGCATGGTTCTTTTGAGATCCTCTTTTGCTCTCAAAGTAACCCAACTGCTAAGCACAACAAGCATCAACCCAAGCCACTAGCTCCATTGTCGCACTTGTTGTGGTCTTCCCGCTCTCCACTTTTTCGGTTGCGTGCACTGTCTAAGCCTCAGTAACTATCACTTGTCAATGGCACTTTTTCCTATTCAGGTTTTTATGGCTTCCTCTCTTTCACTGCATAGGTCGATAATTTTTTTCCCATCGTCATTAAAGAGGCCATATTCTCCTCCTCTTATTAAAGTTCATCACCCCAGCTATATATGTTCCCAAAATGGCAAGGAAAAAGTGTCATGGATTTATTTTAAATGGAAGGAGTGCCACTTTATATGTTTAATTTAAATGAAACAAGTATAAACCCAAAGATTTATATTAAAGGAAGTGAGTTTCACTCCTTTAATGAGCGTGATTTAAAATATTTTTATTTTATTTAATATGAATATCATAATTGGATTGACATGCATGCAATATGAGTAATTGTAGGAATTTTCATATGGAGCATTGTAGGATTCATATGTTAATCACAAATTATTCTTGACACTATAGGAAAAACCAACATAACCGATGGCCCAGATCCGCTAGAAAATGAGTAATTCAGCAAAAAAAATGTGAATTTATGATGAATTTCTGGCAGAAATTTAGTTGACGGTAAAACAAGCATCGAAAACTTTGTTTTGACAAAATTTTTTAATCGGAGATATTTCCAGCGGATTTATCGATGGAATTCTCGACAGAATTTCGGTGAAAACAACAATATTCTTTTTTTTTTTGTGAAGCACTCTTCCTGGTGGCCACCAAAAATTCTAGTGGAAACCTATCGCCAGAAATACTGGCGTACACACCGCTAGAACTTTTTCGTCAGAAATACGATACAATTTCGCCGTATCTTCGTTTATGGCAAATATTTCGTCAGAAACCTGTAAAAAAAAAAGTACTCCCTCACATTTATTTTATAACACAATAAACCTGCATAAATAATATGCTCATATCATATTCAAATTCAAACACTGAATATAAACACATGCTACATGTATGTAATAACATATTTGATCACAATATTTTACTAAGCATTCACCAAATAGTTTAAAAATAAACATAAAGTTCATTCGTTGCACAATAAAAATCGGACAATAAAATATACAAAAATAGAAATGAAACGTCCAATATAGAAATGACGTGGTTAGTAATAACAAATAAAAACTAATCATAATTATGTTGCTCGAGACGGTACAAAACTTGGAAACTTTAAAAGCTGCTTTAGAAAGCAATAAAAAAATCATCCCAAACGAAGCCTTAGTCTCACATCACTTGAAAAGTTTTAGTACATGTTGTTTAGTTTTTGCTTTTGCACATGATAGGAACTCACATAAAATGTTGGGGCCATGTGAGAATGTTTTCATGGTATTTTATGATAAATAATAATTATCTGCATTTAATACTCATCTAAAAGTTATTATATATTATATTTAATATTTAATTTATCAAATTAATTCATTTAAATGTTTAAATAAGAAATACTTGAACGACAACTTTAAAAAAAAGTTAGGACGATGGTTCACTGGTTGAACAACTGATCCTTCTTGGTTCAATCTGATTTTGATGCAAAACAAGTTTTTAGAATTGGATATGTCGACTATCAGGTCAGTTCGTAGTCGAACTAGCAAATACAAATTTTAAAACTATGGTACAGGGATCATAGCCTGACAATAATGGTCGGTGGTCTTGCAACAACATCAAGGCGGACATTCGATGATGACAGTCGAGTTAGCCTATAATTAATATTTCAATTATGCCATAAAAATTTTCCTTGAATTGAATGGGATTGCTGCAGTACTTTATAAACTTAGCTATAACAGTTGCAAAAAGGAGCTTTCTATCATAGAAATTTTTTAAAACCAATGAAAAAAGTAATAGTTAAAGAAAATTATGGTTAATATTTGAAAAAGCAAAATATTGAAAGAATTGTCCAAAACAAATCCTAAGATTTCTTCTTCCTCACAACTAATGGTTTTTTCTACTGCCAATTTTAAAATGTCTTCGCCAAATTCGACATATTAAATCATAAGAAACCTAATCATTTGAAATCATTCACGTTTTTAGTACTATAGAATGAAAAAAATTCATGATTCCCAAAGAAAAACTAATATACATCTCCAAAAACATTTTTTTCTCCAAAATTGTTCCTATATAAGGACTACATGGTGGCTGAACATTAGACTTTTGTTAAATCTCAACTTTCAACTTATACAAATCCCTTGGAGTGCTAATCTCTCATAAAATTTCTTTTTCACTCGAAATTTTTTTGATACTAATAATAACATGACAAAAATATTTATAAAAATCATTTCAATTTTTTTTTATAAATAAGAAATCTTTGTGGGTTTGATATGTTGATGCTTATCCTATGATATTCATAATAATAACTATATCTTTAATTAATTGAACATGCTAATATAAACATTTCTATATATACAAGAGGAAATGACAAAAAAAGAAACAAAATAAAAGAGTATGTCATCTATAATGAAGATATATATAATGGTAATTATTTAAGATTCTTAATACATTTAATATCATAAATATTTGATGGTTATGCTTATTATCCTATGCTTTGTAAGTTGGGCATTCTTGACATTTCAATTACAATTCCAACTTTAGGGATAGTATTGGACCAAAATGGAGGAGGATTTTAAATGTCCATATAAGTCGAATATTTTAGGCTTAATCATAGGAAGCTATTATAAGTATTCTATATTTTCTAGCATGAGCTTTTTTACTATAGTAGGTTATCAAATCTCTATATTTTCTTAGATTTGAATTTTATGAATTCTATATATATTCAGTAGTTGAGTGAAATAGAGTAAGATTTATAATCTTATTTATACTCTTCTTTGTGTTTATCATTTCAACATAAAAAATAACCTTCCAAGTCTTAAATGGCCGACTCCACTCTCTCTTTCCAAGTACAAATTGCTTCATCCAACGCCCAACCCAGAGTTCCACCATCTCATTTTCGCGGCATCGTCTTACGAGGAGGCAAATGGGCAGCAAGAGTCTACAGATTTCATGACTCTAAAAGCATATGGTTTGGTACATATTTCACACCAGAAATGGCAGCCATTGCTCATGATGTGGCTGAGCTAGCGATCAACGGGGATAGGGCATGGCTTAACTTTCCTGATGTAATACAATCCCTTCCAGTGCCAAAATCAACTTCAATTGTTGATATTCGAGCAGCAATAGCAGCAGCAGCGGCATCAGCAAAGCAGTTCATTGCGAGGCCTGAGGTCGTGGATGCATATGAGGTGCCATCGCAGGAGATAACTGAGTATGTGGATGAGGATGAACTATTCAATATGCCACAATTGTTGATTGAGATGGCAGAAGGGTTGATGGTGAGTCCACCAAGATTTGGCCCTCCATATGATTAGCCGCTAGAGGTCTTAGAGATAATAATTTATGGAATTTTGATGAGTAAATATGGTAGTGGCATTTTAGACTATCCTTTAGAAAATTAGCTTAGGGTACTCTCATCAAATATTTCATTAAATTAAATTTAAATTTGTTGGATTTATTTTGAGATAAGTATGAACAAGATTTTCATTTATTCTTATCCAATATTACATCTTAAAACCAATTCTTATTTATTAATCCTCTATCATTTTGCAATTTCGTTATGCAATTTCCCCATTGAATTAATTTTAATGAACTAAAAAAAATGTGTTGCTATGAATAGTGCGATGCAACATTGCATTGTTCACACACAATAAAAAACATAAAAATGCATTTCCATTTTCTGTTTGGGTGGAAACTTGCGGGAGCTGCAAACGAGTGAATGTCATTTGGCTGGAGATGCTCTAATGATGTCGGAATTAGACATTCTTAAGCATTTTGGATTTATCTTGTCAAACTGCTCGATTCGACAATGAACATGATAAATTTGGAGATCATTTGATCATCTAATTAATATTTTAAAGCTTTTAAATACACTTTAGGCCATGGGTTTAGGATTATTTGTGTTCAGATCTCGTCGAGACGCTTAATTTGACTATAAGTTTGCAAAAATTAGAGTTTGGATGGCCAAGAATTTAATTTTGAATGTTTTCAAACCAAATGTGGGGTTTGTGCCCGGCCAAGGCTTATTTTTGGTGATGTATCAATCAAGATTAGGGCTGTAAACTAGTGGAGTATACCTTAAATTATGCCTAAATCCTGTTTGACTTGTCAGCCAGATTGTGAGATCGAAGTAGAGTGGAGCTCAGAACGCGAGCTCGAGCTTGGCTCGTGATAGTAACAACAAGCTCGCGAGCTGACTTGCGAGTTTGTTTAAAAAAAAGGTAAAGCAGATGGCCACAGGAGGAAGAAGAAGAAGGGTCGCGAAA